GAATAGGGTAACAGAATGACATCACATGGAAGTGCCCTTCTTTTGTCTAAAATAGGGGTGTCAAACTCAAGGCCCATGGGCCAGATTTGGCCATGGGGTGCTTAAATCTGGCCCATGGGGCCAGCCTGGAAATATCATAGGACCAACCCACGGTATCATTGGCAGCTAAAATGGGCTGCGCCTCATTTTCACCATCCCTGGCCTCCAGAAGCACTCTGCTGGCCAAAAATGGGCTGGAAAACAGGCCAAAAGCAGCCCTGAAAATGGGCCAAAATGGGCCCCAAAAGGCCCCAAAACAGGCTGGAAAATGGCCTGGAAGAATAGCCTGACAATGGTCCAAAATACGCTGAAAAAGGCCCCAAAACAGACCAAAAATGCCCTGAAAATGAGCCAGAAATGGGCCAAAAAGCTTGAACATGGGCCTAAAAATAGCCCAAATGGCCCCAAAAACAGCCTGAAAAATGACCTGAGAACAGCTCAAAAATAGGCCAGAAAATGGCCTGAAAACAGGCCAGAAAATGGGCCAGAAAACAGCTGGCAGAGTGCTGCAGGAGGCCATGGAAGGTGAAAATGAGGCACAATGTGGACCCCCCATGTTCCGTTTTGGCCAGCAGGGTGGTACAGGAGGTATCTGTCCCACCACTTGTCCCCCCCATCACCGCCCTGCAGAGAAAAACTGCAATGCTAATCTGGCCCTCGAAGAAATCCAGTTTGAAACTCCTGGCATATGTAAAGACTTTTTCTTCTGATGATGTTCCAAGGTGCTATGATCCAATTGCTTGTTTCTTGTTACATGAAAAAGATGTCCCAAGTAAAATTGAATGTATATTAATTGATGGATGAAACAATTCCTTTGCTTCTTCCCTAATTCCACCCCAGACACATACACATATCTGATCTTTCTAATCATTTTCCATGAATTTAGTCAAAAAAAAATTTAGTCAAAAAAAATTATTCATTGGAAAGTGTCTAACTGGGTATATGTTAAGTTTCACTTTTAACTCTTTATTGGAACTCGTGTCTTCTTAACAATAAAAATGTAAAATAAAAATTAAAGGCAAGTGGACACATACCAACAGTTGTAAGACTAATTTTATTTAATTTGAATCAACTACTATGAATTTATGGCAAATAAATATGATCATGCCAAGGACAATTAGATTTTTCAGAAGTGGTAGTATGGTAAGGTGTTGGATTGAACCAAAGTGGCCAGTAGGGTGTAAGTATGTTTTTAAAAGTTAAAGGTGATGGTCTTTATGATATAATCAAAGCCATGCCTGTTTTGTGTGTATTGCACATGACATACATAAAAAATAGGCAGGGCTTTGGTTACTCTATTGTGGGTGCCATCCTGTATTTTTTTTCTACATTCTATGGACACCACTGAAGGTAACTTGGGTTTAGTTCAACACTTAGTCATAGTCATTTTGGGTAAGTAGACACATCTTCAAACAAGGCACTAAGCTGCACTTGTCCCTTATTTTTATTCTATGGGGTATATGTAAGAGTTAAAGACAGATATAGACATGGATGATATAGATAAGATGCTGCTTTGCTGCATGTAGCTTCTTATTCTTCAGAATTTGAAATGCATATATTTTTAAAAGTCATGGCAGGGAGAGTCTGGAAGTCACATGGTTGTCCACAAATACTCCATTGCCTACATTGTATCTCCGTTGTTAATGATTTGCAGGGATAACAGAGTCTACAATCCAAATGCATTAATGCCAACTTTGAAATGTGCTTTAATCAGTATAAATAAATTACATAGGTTCACACTGAACAATGTAAATTTTCAACATCATTTACATTGTACAATTATCTAAAATGAATGCCTCTTTCATTTAAAATATTGTGCAAAAAAGTATTTAAATGCAACTGAATGCTGTCTATTCAGATTATTTGCATAAATTATTGCCTTTTCTTTCTTTCAGAAAATATATTCCTGACATGCTACACATCAGCACTCAACAGAAGCCTTTGAGTTACATCCTGGAAACTTTTAAAGAACACCTTATTGACTGCAGATAGAACAGTTCTCTGTGGAAGACAGAATGTCTTCATATTCACAGAAGATTTTCTGGCAATACAATCTGATTATCTTGTAGAGGAAACCTGTGTTTATGGTAACATTAATCAGAAGGAGTTTGGTAGCACCTTTTCCAACTAAAGCATTTTATTAAAAGGCAAAAGTTTTCTTGGCTGCAGCTCACTTCATCAGATGCTGAGGGTGGATAAAATGATATAAGGTTTAAAATGGGGTAAGCCAGGCCAAAAGATGCTACAATATTCCTTCTATTCAATATTCACAGTAGTTGAGAGTTGGGCAGCATGCAAGTTTGATAAATTATTATCTATGTTGTTATTTATAACTATGCTTCCAAACACTTATGAAGTTTAAATATTCTGAAATAAAGGTGTTTAAAACACAGACAAAAATAGTCTCTATAGAAAAATATGCATAACAAGGTTAATAATGAACTGTCTGCTGCTTTCAAATAAGCAACTTTAAAAGAATGTTTTTGGAACAAAATAAAGTACCTTTTCTAAATCATAAGGGGGAGCTCCAAAGCAATTTGAAAAATGCAATATCACATTTCTATGCAGAAGTCAAAGGCACATCTGTGAAATGTAAGAATGCTGGAGCAGCCACCAACTACATACATACCTCAAAGTTCAAATATTGAAGGCACCTCCACATTTTTTTTAACTTGCTTAAAATGAGGTTAGATTATTTTCTTTCTCAACTTTTCTTTTCATTTTGCAATGATGTTACAAAACTGTCCATAGAGTCAGCCATTAATATAATAAACCCATATTCTCAAAAAAAAAAATTGAGAACATATGTAACCATTATAAAATCATTTACCATTACAGTGACTAGTATACACCAAGCACTAAAAAAGGAAATACCAATCTTTTAATATATTTTTTAAGTAATAAAACTATTTTGCCATACACAGGCACACAGAGAGAGGCTGGGAGGAGAAGAGAGAGAGGTTGATTAAGTTATAGCTGATTTCCCTGATATAGTACCTTGTTTGCATGTCGCAGTTAAAACTCCCATTCAACAGCCTTATTCACAATGCCCATTTTCGGATAACAATATGAAACAGAACAAGTAGATGAACACTATAGCAGAATAGTACTCCATGCTTTATAAATGCAAATAATAAATAGTCTCTCATTATACCTGCAGCCAGAGATTTCTTATAAATATAGGCCAAAATGTCACTTAGCATTTATGAATCAAAGGAATACTTGAAATGATATGAGTGCTGAAATTAATACATCAGTGTTGAAAGTCTTAGTCACATCTCATCAAGTCCTTGGAAATGGCCCAAGACCATTTTGAATAATGCCGGTGAACTCCAGTTTTGATTTGTGAGTGTGGTGAAACAGTTATTGGCTCAGTGTGGGCTACTCCCATTGTTCTTAGTGAATCGAGTTGATTAGATCTGTCTCCGTTTTCATACCAGTTTTAGGGCAATTCTTAGGGCTGTAACCTAGCAACCTGTAATTTGTGCTTCCAGATGATTAAATTGGCTATAATAATCCTGGACTTCTCCTTGAATGATTAAATGGATCAATCCTTAAAGGAAGTGATCTGTATCTCTTTGGAAGAGGAAGTAATAATGCTTTTACTAATGAGAAAGTTCCTTGACATGAAAGATCTGTACAATTATAGGTCATTCTCAAATCTAGTTTAGGGAAAGGTGAACAAGAAGATAGAGGCCTTGCAACTTCAGACAGATATAAATGATATAATTTTCTACCTCTTTATGAATTAGCCTTTCAGTTGGTCATGGTAAGGAAACCACTTGTTCCCTTGGTAGATGACTAATGTCAGAAACTGAAAGGAAATGGTATAAACTCTGGACTTCTTGAATCTCATAATATCCATTTAGGCTGCCTGGCAGGACTGGGCCATGAAGGCATCACTCTATAATAATTATAGTACTGCAAGGCCATGTCTAGGATGTGGTGTCAGAGGGCTACTACTCAAAACCTGGTCTGACAATCAAAGATCTTTTATGATCCTCAGGGTTTCTTCTTGGGGAAATTAAGCTGAAATTTTAAAAGTGTGTGTCATGCTGACAAACCTAAACTATCCTCATCTATCTCACCCAACTCCAAGGATGCAAGAGGGTTGAATGAGGAAAAATATACTAAAGTAAAACTTGGAGGAGATGGAAATATTGTTGCAAAATAGGAAAATGTATGTGGGAACTTATATTTAGCGTCTTTCCACTTCCCATAGAAAAAAATAAGTTTTCTATCTGAAAATAGTCTTTGATTCTCGGCTATCATTGGATTCATACATGGTAGCTGAGGTAAAGAACAGCTCTGAATAATTATACCTAATATATCAGGTGGGACTTGTTCTGAACCAGTCAGATGTCATGAAGGCCTTGATTATATCCTATCGTGACTATCCCCATATACTTAATGTGGGCCTACCTATGAAAAATATCCAGAAATTGGTTTTTTTGGTTCAAGCATTATACAATACCTATATGAAAATACTTGCATAGGACCAGATGTTTGTTACTAGGCACAATTTAAAGTAACAGAATAACAGAGTTGGGAAGGACCAACTCCTTGGTTTTCTAATCCAAACTCCCAAAGTGTTGTCATTGATCCCCTAATCCTAAAGATCTTAGGATCTCACTATATGAAGGACTGCTCTTCTGACGATGACCTTTAAAAGGCCAATTTTTGTGACATGTAGAATTGGACCACCCTTCTGTGTTGTTCCCACATTATACAGTGTATTTCCTTGGGAATAATACTTGGCCTCCACTCTTTTAGCATTTAGAAAATTGTTCAATGGTTTAAGTGCACATGCTAGGGTTAATTTTAGTAAATGTTTTTAACCTTGAGCAATTTTTCTTTTAAAACGTTTTAATTCTCATCCAAGAAGCTTTTTCAGCTCTTATTGGATGGTAGGGAATTCCACCGCTTGGATGAGAAGTGAAACATCTTCAAAGAAAAACCAGAAAGTCCAGTTGCCTCTTGGAAAAGCACCTTTGAGACAACCATGACGTGGATGATTGAGAATCTCCATAGACACTTGAGCAATATGGTATTTTGAAATGGGGACATTAATTTTGAAAGCTGCCTTTGATTACTTACCAGAGTAGAAATGGGGAAGTAAATAAAATACATAAAGGTATAATTTTAAAATGTATTCATGTGAAAAATTAGTAACTATTTGATTAGTAGTCATGTTAACAGATATAATTTTATTTCATTTTGTTTTTATCCTGGCCCATAATCCTCTCAGTGTCCTGAGTCCTAACAGGCAAAATGATGGCACTCAGACTGAAAAAATGAGCCTGCAAAATTAGAGATACAGTTTCTTATCAAAGTACTTTCATGTCCCATGGAAATCTCTTATCTTCCTACAATCAATTAAATGAGTTTCTAAAGTTGATTTTTGGTTAAAATATTTAGACATTCTACATTACAAAAATCATACCATTCTCTTGAGAAAGTAAAAAGTTTCATGAGACTGAGATACACTTGAAGTAAAATGGATTTAAAGTAAAAGTGTATTTATTTATTTTTTTAAAAAAGAATTAAATGACTTGCTCAGAGCCTCCCAGTGCTGTTACTCAGAAGTTACAGCTGCCACTGGACATCACTAAAGAATTTTTCTTTGACTTTCACTAGAAAGAATACTTTGTTCCTCATTCAAAGGCGTACTGAAGAGCTTGTTTGATCTTGTGTCTTCGAATCAGCAACAATATCTGGGGGAGGCTTATATAACACATATGATGTGATAGTAAAAATTAGAGAAATTGCTTTGGAACATGCACCTGCAAAAATAAATTAAACAAAAAATAAATTAAATATGGCTGTTAATTTATCTTCTTGCTTTAAAAGGAAAAAAAAAACCCACAACCTTCTAAGCTACCATTATAACAATAGATTTTATATGTATCCTTATCACATGACAATAGGTAGGACCTGCACTGCTTAAAACTCTGAAGAAACAAGAGTTGCAAATTATATAGCAGCTCCCATGCTCTGATCTCTGCCAATTAACACTTTTCTTTGATTAAAACTGCCAAACTGATGTTTGACCCATTCAGCCTGTAACTAATTAATATTAGATTGTTTCAATATAAATTTCAAATAATTATGGTTCTGGCCTTGAATTGGTTCAGTTAGACAACTTACGAGGTGATCTCTACTACAGGTAGTTTTCAACTTATGACCATAATTGAGCCTTCAATTATAGTCATAAGTAATTGCAGTCATTAAGTGAGATGCCTGCATGATTGCCTTACTCAATGATCACCAATGTGGCTCTCCCAAGTGCGGTCATTAAGTGACTATACAGGTGATTAAATGAATGGAGCCAAAAGAGGCAGGCAACACTGTTCTATGCACAGAAAGAAATTGTGTCTCCTCTCCATGCATGGTTGGCTGGGGAATTCTGGGAGTTGAAGTCCACCTATCTTAATGTTGCCAATTTTTAGATATTGATGATCAAAAAACACTGACTGATTTATTTTGTTTATATACCAAACCAAAGAAATTAAAGAATGAAGTAATTGGAAGCTGATCCCTTTAGCATAATTTCTTCATTTTTAAGGAAAACAAAGACACTTACTTATACCAAATAGCAAATATGCCATTTTAGTATTGTTATAGGTCCAACATGCTCCTTTACGTCCACATCTATCTGTAGACCAGAGAGTGCAAGAATCGTCTATTGAGATACCAAAAAGGATTGGGCCAGGAATAGTGCCTACATAAGATGGAGTGATACAAAATTATAACAGAATACTATCTACAGATGACTGAAACTATGAAATAGAAAATAAAGATCTTAAGATATATATAAATTTAAATGTGCAAATAATCTCAACAAGAAATCCCTTGCTAAAGTTGTAGACAAATTATTTAATGTATTTTTGAATAAATGTTTAAATGCCTTAAAGTTAGCCATTTTTAGTTCTCCCACCCCACCCCACCCAAAGGTTTTGTAAGAGCTAAACCCTTCCTCAAAAATCTTCAAAGTGGCTAAAATATTTAAGATGTTGGCAATCTCATTCCTAAATTTTGTAAATTCTAATCAACAAACAATAACATCTTACATAAAATTGACATTTCAAGTAAGGTGGTTTTGTGGATACTTTGACATCTCTTTATAGTTTTAAATCTCATTATTAGAGAGTGGGGTCTAGGCATTAGTTAGGGATGAATGAATTCTAGTGCTTCTTTAGCCACTGATGTTCCTCATATACAGTTTTTCTGATACAAAGTCTCTTTTTATGGAAAGCAGGTCTTCTTGAATTGTGATGTATGTTTTCCTGACTTCAGTTTGTTTCATAAAAGCTAACTACCAGTGATTGTTTACTTGACCTTTTAATCCTATTCAGAAAATAGATCAGCTTCCTTTTAGAAAATACTATTTTTTTTTCAGTTAGGTCAAGACCTAGAATATGTTCTCCTGTTTAGCTTTCTCTTCTTCTTCAAAAAAAAAAAAAAATGTGGCAGAAATGATGCCAGTAATTTCTTGCAGTCTCTGTGCATAGTTTCACTTCACTTGGTCTCTGTGCCAAGAGAGAAACTAATGTAGCAAGATGATTTTGGGGAGATTAGAGAAAACCATGCAGGCTTTTGTGACTTACTTTGGAGGATATGACTAAGACTACTTACAAACTGAGATCTTTGAAAATAAAGAATGCATGATATAGAATTGTAACATATTGCAGTAAAATTGTTTTGTATAGTCTGACATTTTATTATAAGGAGCAAAATGACAAGCAGAATATATTTTGGGGATGAAAAAAAAACGATCTTCCTGTTTTTAGCAGCCGCATATAAAGCAATGCATAGGAACAAATGGAAACTTGGGCTAAAAGTTCTCAATGAAGGATTTTCAGTCAAATTTATGTTGGTCAAAGCAACCAGGAAGGGATGGATTTCCAATAATAACAGTGAAAACTGGCATAGTTCTCTCTCTACTTTAATCCTCATTTAGTAGATCAAAACAATAGCAATATTGTAATAAACTATTACTCATGTGTACTCTGAGGAAAAAAAATGACAGGATGGACACTCCAATTTTTGGTCAAATTTGGTTTGCCCCTTAAATCTATAGTCCTTAGACTTACAATATTATTTCTGCCATGAAATTTCTTTTGTCAAGCTTTAAACTTACCTAAAATTCGTAGAAAGAGCATATGAACACCTAAAGCAAATGATCTGTGATTTTCTGGCACACATCTGTAAATCAAAGTTGGGTTCACCATTTAATATGATATATTCTATCCCTCAACATATATTATGATATGATTGCTATTCTTTTAACTACCCAATGTATTTCTTGGACATACAAGGTTAAAACAGAAGGCAAAACTAATACTATAAGTTATTACAATGTAAATAATGATTCAAGAAAATGTTAACATAGCAATTTTCCAGTCATTTTTCTTCTGTTCATTTTAATTTTAAAATCATGTTTCTATTCACTTCTTCATATTTAAAAATGAAAAATGCTTTTTTAAAAAACATTAAACAATTTTCATACTATACAAGAGTTCTATAAAACAACACATGGACACAGACACCAAGGGATATATGAATAAGAGCAAAAGAAATTGTAGAATAAAAGTTAGAAATTACAAAATGGACAAAATGTGCACCATGATCTATATCATGACATAAACTTTATCCATAAGATTCTGTAATATGATTATAAAAGGGCAGGGCAGGACTTCTATTATAACACTGTAACATATATTGTTTTGCCATCACTGTGGTAAGAAATGGGTGCCTTCTCTGAGGTACTTTTGACTATTTAAGCTTCCAGCATGAACTCTAAGCAGAAATTCATCATTGTACTTGTTCAACCAATAATTGTTGAATATATCTATGTAACAAGACAGAAGAAAATCAGTGCATCTACTCTGTTTCAAAATCTCCATCTTAATGGGTTAAAAGAAAAACCGTCTTCAGGGGAAATATCACTATGGAGATATTATACAAGACTACTATCCTGATGGTTAGAACAATTAATCGGTGTAATGATTTCCCTCCAGAAGTTGTGGGTGTTCCAATGCTGGAGGTTTTTAAGAAGAGATCAGAACCATTTGTCTGAAATGGTATAGAATTTCCTGACTGAGCAGGAGATGGGACTAGAAGACCTCCAAGCAGGGGTGGGCTGCTACTGGTTCGCACCAGTTCAGCCGAACCGGATGTTAATTTTACATCTGGTTCACCGAACTGGTAGTTGCAATGACTGGCTGGCCCCACCTGCCCCACCCTGCCCATCCTCCTTGTGGCTGTTTTGGATTCCAGGTAAGTGCAGGGCCTGTACAGAGACTCAGGCAGGGCAAAAAATGGGCCTCTTGCAGCTCCTGGAAGGCCAGAAACCAGCCAGACCTCCAGAGCCCAGGGAGGCCATTTTTGCCCTCCTGGAGGCTCAAGAAAAGCCTCTAGAGCTTAGGGAGGGTGAGGACAGCCCCCCACTGTGGTGCAGGAGGCTGACTAGGTCACGCCCACCATGGCCACACCCACCTAGCAACTGGGCAGAGAACCAGTTGGTAAATTTTTTGAAGCCCACCCCTGCCTCCAAGGTCCCTTGCAACTCTTTTATTCTATTATTCCTTTTGGTTACATTTTAATTCTTGGCTGTAGTTAGAAATTAGTATTGTGTTTGAATATATTCACCTCAATGTTTCAAACAGCTGGATGTCCCAGTATTTTTGTGGAGATCTACTGCTGATCTCTGCATTCTTGAACACTTTTTTCAGCACTAGGCTGTCAATTTAATTTCCCAGAATGTCCTAGCACTAGGAATCAGACTCATATTTTCTCATTTGCATATTGAAATCATTTCCTCACTGTACAAATAATTTGATGTGTTTGCAAAGGGATGGTGGAAGAAACTAGCTCATGGTTTTTAAAAATCCTATATTGTATTGCATTTTACAACATTTAAAAAAGATAAAAGCACCATTTTAACTACCTGAGAATGGCCACAGTTGTTGGTGTAACTGCCATAAAAGTAAAAACAACTGTAAAAAAGAAGAAGCTCAGGAACCAAGGCAGGACTGTGCACTTAGATTTACATTTTCCAGAAGTGGCCCCTTGAAAGGTATTCTCAATTTCAATTACGGGATTCACAACACAGGAACAATTGCTGTAGTGCTATAAATAATGCATTCAAAAATACAGATAAACAAAATAAGTAAATAATTCTTCAAAATTAATTGAAAATTCATTCAACAGCAAAATAAATTGATTTCAAAATGTTACAGATATACACAGACAACTGATATATCAAGACTGAATAACTATTCAGCCAGTTGTAAAATAAAAATTGTTCTTGAAGAGAGTTTTATTTCTAAAAGAAATAAATAAAATCTAGAACATTTTGTGATCTTGGATCTACCTTCATATCAAAATATATGTTCGGCCAGTTCAGTGGCCCTTAAATAAACTAATTGCGCCACATCTAAATTATAAGCATGATATCCATTTCCATATGTGGATCTTGTCTTTTAAAATCCAAATAGCTGTTCTTCTGTTCTCCTCTTTGCATTTACATCAACAGAGAATATTAAGAATACGTTAAGTTCCTGGTATTTTCTGAATTTGGTAGTTTTCCTGAAGATGTTTTGTTACCAGGCTACATGAAAACA